AACTCATTGAATGAACAGGTGGCCAGAGCCAACATCAAGTCCAGGCACATCCCTTTGGACAAGAACGAGCAGCATCGACTTCTTATTTTACTAGGACTGTACCATACTAATGACATAAATAGCAGCATTATTGGAAGTAACACTATGATGATTTGCCTCTGCTTCCCCTTTACTAAAATCAACACGCGACTATACATATTTTAGGAGCAAGTAACAAGCAGTATACATTGAGTTAGCATAGAAGCAATCAAAAAATGACAATTTAATTTAGAAAACAATTTAGAAGTGAAAACTTAAATGGTCAATGCAAATAACTAAACTCTCAAAGATATTAGAACGAGGTATCTTTATACTCTCTCGGCTTACACAAAGCTTAATACACAATCAATGAATGAAAGTGTCAACAAATATGACAAAAATTAAAATTTTGAGAAATTTAGAAGAAAGAAACATACCTGTGGTCTGTTAGGTGTCCACAAAGGTGTCTGCATCCGCAAAGGTGTTATTTGCAAGGGTGGGTTGCTTCTACTGGAGCGAGTCTTGTGCACAGCAACTGATAAACAGAAAAGAAAAACATCCATAAACTAGAGAAACAACACCGAAAAATCTATACTTCCAAGTTCAAACAAATACTGTATTGCATTAATATCAAACAAAAAACAACAATCTAATAGGGTTTTGTGAGTGACACTGACGATTTGAATTCACTAATTCCCTCCAATAAAATAGCAATACACAGTTAGGTACAAATTTTGGAATCAAGTAACAAGCTGTATACATAGAGTAAGCAATTTAATTTAGAAAACAATTTAGAAGTGACAACTTAAGTGGTCAATGCAGATAACTAAATTCTCAAAGATATTAGACCGAGGTACCTCATGCTCTCTTGGCTTACTCAAAGCCTAATACACAATCAGTGAATGAAGTGTCAATAAATAGCAGCATTACTTAAAGTGACAGTCTCATGAGTTGCCTCTGCTTCTGCTCCACTAAAATCAACACACAACTACATATTTTGGGATTAA